TCGCAGTGATCCTTTGTGGTTCTTGCTTGTGTACATTCACATACTTTGTATTTCTGCTCATGTTACTTTTTCTCTTCTGCCTCCGTCGAAACAAGAACAGGGACGTGATATCACAGCATCAATTTGGTGAACAGATGTATTATAAATCAGCAGGATGGCAAACTGTGAGCGGTGTAGCGTATCAATAATGAGGTATGTAGGCTTGTAGCGTTGCATTGTACTAAACAGGGTCAGCGCGCACAGCTAGAAGATTGAATTTTATTGCCCCCGTTTCTTTCGGGCAACAAAGGGCAAGAGGACGGTAAAGCCGAGGTAAACGACAAGCTGTGAATATGCAAGACTTGACCTGAGATTGCACCAAAACAGGAAGACGCATCCCTCCTTGTGTCACACTTCAATCAGGATTCAGTGGATTTAAAACCTGTTGGTCATCGGCAGGAATGGAAGAAAAAGGCATTATCTCATTGGCTTTTTTTTTTTAGGCCTGGAGGCTACATCCACTCGATGCTCTATAGGCATTTTGAGGCAGCGAAACAAGATGCAAACGCAACTCTGACATACATTCTCATGATATAGTGCTTATGGCAAAGCACTAAGAAAATTACTCATTTACATACCCAGCAGACACAGAGAAACATAATGATTTATTTTGTACTTGGCAAGTGGTAGTTCAATATTCACTTTCCCTACTAGTTTTTGTTTGGTCTCCTCAATACTAATCAAGTCCTGAGGGAAATATCTGGCTCTTTAGCTGCTAAATGCTTCACTATGTTCTCCAGCTAGTCCCTAACCGAGCCCGTCTGCTGTTTGGTTGCTGAGCAGGTAAAGTACAGTGGGATTATCAGAGCTTTTTTTTATTTTTTTTTACTGAAAACATCTGTGTCCTCCGTCTGGAAAGAACTCTAATGAGAGCAGTCAGACTGAACCAAAACAGTGAAGTATTTTACTGTCAAAAATTGCTACGATGAGAAGAAAGTTGCTAAAAAATCTTATTCTACTACAACCAACCTCCTTAAACATTGTCATTTTTTATATAAAATAGTGATAATATCTGATACAAGGAGGTCTTAAGACGTTAAAAAACCTCATGAGGGAAACTCGTGATGTCTGGCTGCATAAATAAACTTGATTAAGATCTGGGGATTTGATTGCAGTGGCCATAATTACTCTTTTCACTGAAGTGGTGATGTGTTAAATATCCTCCATCATTCCTGAGTAATAGAAAGTGTCAAACAAAAAAACCGCCATGACACAGTACTTTGAGCACTCCTTCTTATCCCTGCAGAATTAAAATAGACCAGGAGTGAAGAGAAAAAAAAAAAAAAAAAACCTCTTCCTTTTCCATGACCACCTCTGCTGCTGGTGCAAATGAAAATGCCCTTCCCAAAATAGATCATTTTTACCCTTCAGATGTCCACTTTTATTTTAAGCCTGCTGACATGGTGCCATCCATCACACCCAGCCTTTTCAGATGTGAGCAGCAGCCTCGGGGAAAACACTGATACAATGCAGGGAAAGTGTGATAGCGTGCTGCTGCTGCTGCTGCTGTGTAGCTTAAGACCTCTATGGTTAGATTACCACTAATTTCATCTCAGAGTAGCATTTAGGCATTTTCTTTGTGTGAGTGAAGTGGAAGTCGTTCGTCTTTTTAGGGGTAAACATTGAAAATGGATACCCTGCCTTTCCAACTCTTCCCTCAAATTACCACTTGACACGGCCAAAACATCGCTCCGCATTATTGTCTGCCAGGAAAAAAGCATCTCTGAATGCTTTATTGAATGTTTTGGCTGGATGGAAATTGTACCAAGTGTACCCAGAGCTTTGATCATCTTGACCTGGAAATGCGATAGTCACCCCACTTCACAGAACTCCCTGACACCTGGGAAACTGGATCTGGTATTCTTGATACATGATCTGCACCGCAGCACTAAAGACTTAACTCCTCTTTTTTTTCGTAGACAGCAGGGACCACTGATGGGAACAGGAATTTCACATGGCTCAGACTGAGGCTTTTTTCCCCTCCCGACAGGCCACTGGAACTAGTCCCAACATTTGGTTCCTGGTGGAAAAATGGGCTGTGTGATTTTTATGAACGAGATTCCTGCGTTATTACCTAGACTTAAAACACAGAGATGCACAAAGAGGGCTTTAAATTTGAGAGTTGAATTTGAATTAGAGTTGAAACAAGAGTTTTTTTGCAGATGTTGTCAATCTGCAAAGACAGATATATACTTAAGAGATCTGAGTCAGCAATTAGACTTTATTTGTGGTCCTATTTCAAGCCTTTTTCAATACAGAGATTTATTTTAGCATTTGTTTTATAGGGTTTCCTGGATTTCTATTGTGGTGACTTCATACTGTAGATGCACTTAACTCACTTACTACATAGAGCTGTAGGGACAAATGGCAGAACCTTATGTCACACAGCGTTTGCCACATATGTAATGGTTGTTATAATTGCGGAGGCGGTCATATTTGCATTGATCACATGCTGAGATTTGTCACAATCTGGCTGGCTCAATAAATCCCTAGGATAAACTCAAATTTGTCTGGCCTTCGTGTAATGAAGGTTAAAATAAAGATTGATTCATTAAATGTTTAAAAAAATGTGTCTTGGTTTACTGAAGCATTTTGAAACAAACCTTACTCCAACCTATTACTGGAGGTGGGAATCACAGGTTAACTCATGATACAGTTTGAGACGAAATGCATGGCCAACAATAACAATAATGTCACAATACAGAGATTCTGTAATCATTTATATATTGCAAGACTGTCATTTAATGACACAACCTGATATCTCATTAACTGAAGAATTTAAAATGCACCTCACAAGGTAAAGTGCAGTGTTAGTGTGTTTGTATTTATTCACTGCAATTTGGTGGCAGTCAACTTCTTTTCACCGATGAATAATTGCATCATGAGTGTGAGCGACAATATATTGCCTGAAAAAAAATCTTGTACAGAATACAATAAGTCATTGTAGCGCCTTATTCTCAAAGTGAAGCCAGAGCTCGAGCTAATGGCCAGCAGGGGGAGACTCTAAGTGTTTTGTTTTTTTTGTACCAGATAAGAAAATGTTCCTACTTGTGATCTTTCCTCCATGAGTTTATGGTCTCAGTCGCTGGTTTCAAGTCTTCGTCAATACAACAAAACATGGATTTTGTCAATCCTGGTCCGATTAAGAGTAAAACTTTCAATAAAATATGGTATACTTTATTATGTACCTTTTTATAAACTCATCACTACCACAGGATCTGTCGGGAGTAGATAAAGTTGTAGCTGTGCATAACCATCCTGTCATCCTATTTTAGTCACTTCTGAGTCCCAGAAACAAAGATAGCAACAACCAAAATGCAGAACTTAGAGCCAGGTAACCTTGGTGTATCATTCAGTACATGAATATTGTCCCAATGGATATTCCAAATGACTTGCATGTAATTTCTTGACTTGGCACCATGGTTTCCTTTCAGTAAGGTAAATCCAAAGCATCTAGCCAAAGTGGAGTTGATCAGGGTATATTTGAGCATCTCATTGATATGATTGATTCATATTTCGTTTTTGTATAACCGTTCTGAGCAATGTAATGTGAAGGCAAAGGCATTTGAAGTGAGTGAGGCTGGAAGTAAATTACACAGAGCCAGTGTGTGATTAGAGAGGCCGTGGCATGGCTTTTTAAAGTTCACCGCCTCTCAGGATATTTGATCGAGCCACCAGCCTTTGATCAGTGTTAACATTGCGGTAACCACGACAGTTTATTTTCAACTACCAAAAAAAAAAAAAAAAAAAAAGACCATTTGTGTTAGAAAACAATCTCCCCTTCCTCTGACACGTTGGCACACCGCAAAAGGAAAATGTCAGGGTCAGTGATGGGCCATTAGCCCAGAGTGAGGAGCTTTTGTGCTCTCAGGTCCGTTTAAAACACCTTTTTAGCCCTGGACAGATGGTACTGTGACACTGCAGCTACAGGCGCTGACCTGGGTTTTAACTTGAAGATATTTCCCCCCCAAAAAAAAATCCACAGGAAATGGAGCCCCGCAGAGGAGCAAGAAAGTCTGCCTGGAGAGTGAATGACAGCATGAATGTGTAATAAAGAATTCACCTGCATAGCACTGATGTATTGTAATACCCTTGTACATTTGATTAAGTACAGAGTCACCCTCCATTCATCAGCATTACTCGCTTTTCTTTTTCATAGAGGTCGCTCCTCTGTTGCTTTCAAATGTCATCGTGCTTTAATGGGAACTGCACTGTAGCCCACAATGGAAGCTTTTCAGCGAGATTAAATGTATCACAGTGCTGAAACTTTCCTTTCCTCTCTCCCCCCTTTGCCCCTATTGTGACACGGTGGTTTTACAGAGCAGCTTGTTGCTGAAAAACAAGGTTAAGAAGATCAGTATCAAAGGAGGAGTGTTTTTGTGTGGCTTGCCGGAGAGTCTCGCTTCAGGTTTCCACCTGAAACACAAAGGTGTTTTCTTACCTGATTTGTATTCATTCACACAATGAGTGGACCTGCCTCTCTTGTTTCCAAGTAAGGAGAGTCCAGACGAGACTTTTGTTTGCCCTATCATCGGATACGTGCATGTTGCTTCCTCCAGTACGAGCCTTGGAGCCCAGCCACAGGCTTTGTCCTAGATGGATTTTTTCCTGCCCTTTTTTCCTCTGCTTTGTTGCTCTGTGTATGTTCTGAGAAACTATTTCAGATAAATGTTTCAGCACTACAGCTGCTTTTTTTCCTCTCTCCCTTTTGGCTCCTGTGTTATTTCAATAGAACCAAGTTTTGTCACATGAAAATTGCCTTGTCAGACTCCAGAACCCACAAATTAGCAGTTTCAAGTGTTTTAGTTATAGTAGCCTGTAGTTCAGTCTATTCTGGACCATATTGTGCTGTCAGAACACGGATTAAGCTGCACTTACAGCGCTACTGTACAGATAAATCTGCTTGTTTCAGTTACAACTGTTAAAACCGTAGTATTAATACATATTCTTCTTGTTTTCAGGGTTTCTTCCTGACTGTGTCCCCGGAGTCCATCCTGAAAGTGGCGAAGCACGCCTCAGATAACAACAAAATCTTCTGCATGAACCTCTCGGCTCCTTTCATCAGCCAGTTCTTTAAAGAGCCCTTGATGCAGGTCATGCCCTATGTCGACATCTTGTTTGGCAACGAGACGGTAAGAGCAATAACACATCTGTTCAGGCCTCTTTAGACCAATTTGCTTACTCATTGCATTGATTTAAATGTGTGTCCATGTGTTTTATTTTTTTATATGTAGGCTTTTATTTATCGTAAGTTTTATTTCATTATCTAGGTTTTATTGTGTAAGTAAGGTATTTCAGAAACCTGTTAGATTGAATGTCAAAACACAGGCCAATAAACCAAACCATGCCATGTTCAATGCTGCAATAAAATATTTTTACAACATTACAAATTGGCCATAAAAAATTGTTTATGAGCCCATTTTTAGCCATACTAGCTGCGTGTGAGTGGATATGTCAGTGTAGGCCTTAGGTCTAGTTGGCCCAACAAGCTAAACTAAGATGGCAAATGCATCAAACCTAATAGCTGCTAGAGTCTGCATGTGAATATGAAGCGTGTTAATATTAACATTTAGCTAATTTAGCTAGCGAGCGCTATACCCTTAAAGCTATGCTAGTTGCTCTGAGGTTATGGGGCTTTTAGCTAGCCAGGCATTATCTTGTTTGTATCGATTGTCTTGAATACATCCCTAGGCATCATTATTAATATGTATATTATTCTTCTCACCTTTTTATAGTCCAAACACAAGTATGAATAGCCAGTTGGACTAAAGCTGCACTGCTCTGAACCAATAAAAAGTGGTTGATTTGAATGGCATTCTTTTACAATCCTTACATTCCTAGTCAGGATTTAGGGTTTCTCCTTAAAACCTTACTTCTGCAAAAAGCCAATCAGCATTTATGCTTCTGTGAAATGCAGATCCAAGAGCTGGATACAGTTAGATACTTTGGGATATTTCCCATCATTGAGACAATGAATTCAAAGGAGTGTTCAGTCTAGGTAGAGGTCTACAGTATGTGCCCTCTGAGTGCTTTATAGTTTAACATTACATCCTCTCACCTTGAGCAAAATCAAAATGCCATGTCCACTGTTTCATTTCACTCATTGGTCTCATTTCTCTTCAGTACCCATTTAACTTTCCACTTATCACTGTCCCATAAAGAGATGAATAGGAATTAGGCCAGTAATCATTCATCTCAATTGCGTCACCATTTCATGCCGCTTGATCCATCGATTTTTCTTTCTCGGCTCAGTGGAAGCGAGTAGCCGGCTGGAGGTCAAGCTGTGGTCACAGACCGTGGTGCTGCTGGGAAGTATCCTCTAACAGAGCAGCTGAGCTTGACTCGGAGGCACCGCCTGGACAAACTCCACCTTCGGCGGGAGGGGTAGAGAACAAGAGTGGACTGAGCTCGGCTCCCCACTGCTAAAGCTAAGAAACAGAGCCCTGTCTTTTGGTTTAAAGATGGGGTCCACAGACGAGGACAGAACTGGAAGAAACTGCTCAGCATTTGAGGATTTATTGCCTTTGCTGACTTCAGCTTTTTTTTCTCTCTCTTTTCTTTCCTCTCCTAACATAAAACCTCCTTTTTTACATATGCGCCCCTCTCGCCTCGTTCTCTCCCTTCTCTGGCTCTCTTAATTGCTGTGAGGAACGATTCTGTCTCCGAAACCATGATGTAGATTTTGCAAGCGTTATGTATTTTCAGGTGGGTGGTACTGTAGCTGTTTGCTTAAGAAGTTTGCTCACACCTCCAGTCATTACAGTTTAATGACTCCGGATAATTGCGATGTATGTTTGTTGAAGGAGATTATCTTTTTGGAGGCTCTGTCAGGGCTTGCTCTCCGGATTTGAAGTGGGAAACAGAGCAGATATTCAGTCCTCAGCTGCCTCAAGCAGTGAGGTCTTCTAGGGTCTATATAGGACTAATGCCTGTCCAGAGTGTTTTGACTCCTTTTTGGCCTTCCTCTGTGCTAGCCGCTGGGAGAGAAGAGGAGGGGGGGCACGGGGAATGACTGCTCATACAGTCGAGCCGTGGACCTCCCATTGTGCACAAGCCAGACAAGGTTGGCGGTCATGCAGCGGTGCATGGTGAGTGACAGGCAACAGGGCTGCTTTCGCCTACGCTCGCCCATCCAACACCCCCCCCCCACCCCACACACACACACACACACACACACACACACACCCCCCCTCAGCCGTTCTCTCACCCTAACTTCCATCCCCCAAAGTGATGGATCAGCCTCCGCCCGCGATGCTTTCATAACAAGTCAGTGACAGTCAGGATCATGCAGACTGACTCCTATAGCCTTGCAGAAAGAGCCATAAGGGAAGGCTAATGTGTCTGCCTGTCTCTGCCTCCCTCTCCCACACTCACTGAGTCACGATACAGAGCCGCACACTCTTGGGGAAAAATATGTTTTAAAGCAGCTCTCACGCTTTTAAGAAGTGACTAATACTAATTTTGAGCGAGATTGACACGTATGATTGACTAGGATCTCATTTCAAATCAAATTTCAAATCCTGAAGAGTCATGCAACACCACAGCCCCTAAAAAAAAAAAATGTCAATAGCCTCTTTTTTTCCCGCCTTGTTTTGGCCTTCTTCTGATGTCGAAATGTTTCTGACTGAGTCCACCCTTGCTGCTGTAACTCAATCCTGCAGGTACTTGTTTTGAAACTGGGCATCAGCTGGCCCTCCCCAGCCTACCGGCAGCCTCGTACTTATGTAACAGTCTCCCATCCGTCCTTTAATTGCTGCCTTTTTGGGGCATAGTGTAGTGTCTGTTCCTTTTACTAGGTGGGGGGAGGAGAAGGGGGGGGGGTTTGAGAGGCTAACGACGGCGTTTCTTCGTTGCTAGGGCCTCTGAGATGGAGACAGACATCAGACGCTACTTCACTTAATTGGCAAACATGTCGTGTGATAACCTGGGAACAGTGCAGGCTTTAATTGAGTCCTCCTGTGCTGTCCTCCTCTGACTACCTGACATGGAACCCAGGGCATTACATTTCCCTCCGTTTAATGGCTGCAGTTAATTAGGCCCGAATGAGGGAATCATTACCGCTGGAAAAACCACATGCCAGTGGATTCGCCGATAAAATTAGCCACAATTTGCTTTTGCTATTTGAGCGTAAGAGATAAAACCACACAATGGCGGGAAAGGATTGGACCATTACTGGCGGATTAGTATTGTGGAATATAAGACGTATCATAGACAAATGGAACGATTAATCAAGGCTCAATTAATCACCCTGACTGATGTTTTTTTTAAAGCAAGGATTCATGGCTTTCTCAATTTAGACCCTTTCCTGAGCATTTTTTTTTTAAATCTGTACAATTCTGCTTCCTTATGAAACCCACAAGGTGAGGGCCTTTATTCCTGCCACATAATCAATACCCTACTCCCTTCTTGCTTTCTTGCCATTAACATCATAAACCCTCCCCATAGAGGAGCTCTGCATGCCTTTCCTTCCCCATCCAATGCGGCTCTACACTCAGAGGAAGCTTATTTTTATGGGTCCCAGCACCGTCTTCCAACAGGAGACAGCCATTGTAATTGAATACTCAATAGGTGAGCCATTTAACAAAAGTGGAAATGGCATTCGGCTGTGTATTAATGTGCTTTGCCGAGGCGAAAGGAGCCATCATTATTTCAATGTTCAAGCTGTTTTAAAAGAGCATTTAGCCCGCCGTCTCTCCAGGCCATGAGAGCAAAATGACACGGATTTCTTCCTCCCCTGTACTTTGTGCGAATGTTCCTCCTCGCCTAATATTTTGAATGGTTATCTCGCTTATTTTCCCCAATCCATCCCTCAGCACCTCTGCATGATCTAGGTGGAGGGATACAAGCAGCTCTACAGAAGGTTACTGTCATGAAAAGCCCCTCAGGCGTTTTGGCTCCCAGCCCTATTTTTCTCCATCTGCATGCAGTGTGTGTGGGGCGGCGGGGGCTCTAATGATTTTTCCAGGACAGGCTGAAGTGGGTGTGCAAGTGTGTGTGTGTATATATATATATATATTTATGTGTGTGTGTTTGTGTGGATGGAAAAAAAAAGTCAGACGGAGGAGATACATGGGTAACATGGCGTCATTTCTTAACATCTCTCCAGATTCATCATTTGGCTTTGTTTGTTTGAAAGACTGCTTGGAAGCCTTATCTCTGTGGCAAGGCCTGTGGCTGTTTATCGCCTCTGTGACGTGTGCGTTACCGGGAAAGTGCGTGCTCTCTGCTGTCAGTATGTGTGCATGATGGCAGGTTCACTAAAGGCCCCTTAGGGTATGAGGGATGTTCTCTCTTTCTCTCAAAAAAAAAAAAAAAAAAGAATAGGAGAAAGAATTTCCCCTTGACAGCTCACCCACAGCGGACTCGAGGTGTACGTCTCGGGGAAAATATCCCTTCTCTCTGTGCCTAAAACAAAGAGATGTGAGAGCCAGATTAGCGTATTACCGAAACAGCTTTTCCTTTAAGGCTCTTCTCTCTCTCTCTCTCTCTCTCTCTCTCTCTCTCCTCCTGTCAGAGCTGTCTGCAGAGAACAGCGAAGAACATGAGACATTAACCTCCATGTGTTTATTCACAAGGCCCCACAGGCCAACTGGGAGGACGAACACAGAAGCATCTCGAAAAGCAAGCGAAGCGGAACAATCACAATGTGTCATAGGAGGAAAAGACATGCAGTATTAGCTGCTGCTCTCCTTTGTGTCTTTCACAACTGAATTTTAATTGAATGTGCTATTTCTGTGATGAGTCACATGCCTTCCGTTCAGAGCCAGAGTACGGTGACCTTCAGTGTGACGTACAGTCAGAGAGTTGTGTGATGAGTCATAGCGCACATTAGCTTTGATAATCTGCCAAATGCAAAAAGCTGTCTTGTCTTATTTTGGTTGTTGAATTTATTTGTGTTTTTTATTTTTATTTGCTGAATACAAGATAAGTGGTTCTAAAACAGGCAAAATACAGGATTGTTTAAAAAAGAAAAATGTATCCTACGTGTTTATTTTCCCCAATCGCTAATTAGTTAAACAGCTCACAACTCACTGACATGACCTGTGGCAAGGTTTCTAATATTGTCTTGAGTTTCTTGCTTTAATTACATCAGTGATTTATAATTCCCCATTACACTTTAGGTCAAGGTTCC